AAGTATGGACACAACATTCAAGCTTGATACAGCACTGAATTTGGATTGTAATTAAATATTTGACACAGCATAGGTTTCTGACACAGAATGAAAGTGGTCTAAGAACTTAAAAATTTTCAATTTACCTATTCATACATGTGATGGACTGTGAAACTCAGATCAGGAGATTGGGAAATTTTGGTCAGGAGATTAGGACTCAGATCAGGAGGTTTTTAATCGACATTAATTTTGTTGTAAATGTAACCGTGTGCTGTAAAAATGGTCTTTTAAAGTGTGTTTTCTTCAACTTTCCAACCAATTTATTATGTTTATAGTACCCTTGTACTTATAAAGTTTCTCCATCTTTATATTCTACATGTTCAATCTAACATTGTTTTTTTCCAGTATGTTCTTTAAATTTTTTACTTCATATTCTATAAAACAATCATTGCAACCAGAACATTTGTTTAGCTGTCTGCAATTAGTTTTTATTTTTTTTTTTTTTCTCTTGCAAATAGTTTTAATTTGCAAACTCAGAAATTCATTCTATCTGAAAAGTTAGGGTCATAGTTATTATATAAATTTCAATTTAAGCCTTAAAAGGAAGTATAGAATCCTCAAATAATTTTCAAATTATTATTTTTTTATTTGTCCTAAGACATTTAAAATCATTTAATAACCATCCTTTTATGATTATTTGTTCAATTTATATTTTATTTATATTCTTTTAAAAATTTTCATTATTAAAAGGAAAGTAACTTAAAACAGGATAAATCAAGGGAAGTAACCCAATAAATACACAGTTTTTGTTACACAACGGCAGTTAGCCTGAGGTAAAAATCGTTGCTTACCAGTATGTTTGACACCCAAGCTGACAAGTGAAGCCATATAATTATGCATGTTAATTGATTTACAGGTAAAATATAACTTCAGGTAATGTCAGTTACACCAGATGCCTGAGATGTTATGTTGGGCAGAAATTTTTCATTCATGAAAAATTTCATACACAGGATTTTTTCAACGGGAGGGGGGAGGACACCCCTGAAAACGGGATTATTGTACTCCCGTCGGGAGGTTCACATGTATGCCTATTCAAACCATATCATTATTATTTGCTTTTATATATAAATCAGAAATAACCAATTTAAAATGGAAAATGTTAAAGAAAAAAAAGGAAAAAAAAAATCCCCCCCCCCCAATTTTTTGAACCCCCTTATGATTCATCGCCCCCAAACTCAATCCCAGCTTTCCCTTTGTGGTATGGTACCTTGCAGTACAATTTCAGAGAGATTCATACACTTGAACACAAGTTATTGTCTGGAAACTAGAAAAATGCTTGGTTTTTGGCCCCTTTTTGGCCCCAAATTCCTAAACGTTTAGGGCAATTACCCCCAAACTCAATTCCAGCTTTCCCTTTGTGATATGGAACCTTGCAGTACAATTTCATAAAGATCCATACACTTACACACAAGTTATTGTCCTGAAACTAGAAAAATGCATGTTTTTTTTGCCCTTTTATGGCCCCTAATTACTAAAATTTTGAGGGAAAATCCCCAAAATCAATCCCAGCCTTCCCTTTGTGATATGGAACCTTGTAGTACAATTTCATAAAGATCCGTACACTTAAAAACAAGTTATTGTCATGAAACTAGAAAAATGCTTGTTTTTTGCCCCTTTTTGGCCCCTAATTCCAAATATTTGGAGGAAATTACCCCAAAAATCAATCCCAGTATTCCCTTTGTGATATGGAACCTTGTAGTACAATTTCATAAAGATCCATACACTTACAAACAAGTTATTGTCATGAAACTAGAAAAATGCTTGTTTTTTGCCCCTTTTTGGCCCCTAATTCCTAAAATTTGGAGACAATTACCCCCAAAATCAATCCCAGCATTCCCTTTGTGATATGGAACCTTGTGGTACAATGTCAGAGAGATCCATACACTTACACACAAGTTATGTCTGGAAGTTACAAAAATGCTTATTTTTGGCCCCTTTTGGCCCCTAATTCCTTAACTGTTGGTACCATAACCCCCAAAATCAATCCCCACCTTCCTTTTGTGGTATTGAACCTTATGGTAAAATTTCAATGAGATCCATTCACTAAAACTAAAGTTAGAGTGCGAAAACTAATGTGTATTCGGACGACGACGCCGGACGACGACGACGACGACGACGACGACGACGACGACGACGACAACGTTATACCAATATACGACCACAAAAATTTTTTTGCGGTCGTATAAAAACATAGATAGATGGACTGACCAAAAACCCTGTATGGGATCAACAGAAGGAGATGTGGAGTATAAATAAATACAATAGACTAAAAGGACTAAAAAAAGACATCTAGATCTTCAACAATGGGCAGGTTTCTATACACTATGTCAAGCTCTAACAATTGATCAATTAAAAATAACAAGAGTGCACACACTGAAATGTCTCCCCTGCTTTACTGACCATTGATTTTATGTTGATAGTCCTAAGTATAAAGCTTTACTACAAGTATCACATAAACTTAACATGATCCAAGAATATGAGGTCAAGGTCAGATAAACCAAACCGGAAATACATGTACACCTTACAATCATTCCATACACCAAATATAGTTAACCTATTGCTTATAGTTTCCAAGAAACAAACTTAAGGATGTACACCTCTGAGGAGCCAAAAATTTCTAGAATTAAACTTTTTTTCTTAACCTGATTTTTCGGTTTATAAGGCTGTAAAAAATAATTGGTGAAGAAAAAAAAAATATGGTGGTGCACTTCTTTTTTTTGCTACGGCCCTTTGAAAGTACCCAATTTTGATGATTTTCCCATTTTTCATCAATTTTTACCCATTTTTGGGCTATTATCGTGAAAAAAATCAGTTCCACAATTAAACTTTTTTTCATACTTTCAATAAAGATGAATTGGACCAATCTGAATAAATTTAATTTAAAAAAAGAATAGGTAGGTGTTAATATAAGAAAGTTTTATCATGTTTTGATGTTTTTTCGTGTCAAATTTACCATGCTGTCAATTTTGTAAATTTGTGATTTTTCTCTGTTTTAAGAACAAAATGCATATTATTTCAACTTCTTTGTTATAAATGATTGAAAAAATACATATCTAAGAAATTTGAAAAGAAAAAAGTGATATGGGATGTATGTTTCTGGTAAAATCATTTCTTGTACCCCTCACCCTTTTTCTCAAAATTTTGGCTAAAAAGACCGACTTGATTGCTAATAAAATTTGAAAAATTTATTACTCAAAAACTACTTATTGTAAATACACAATTTTTTCACAGAGTTAAGTTTGATTATGATATTTTTTAAATTCATTGCTATTTTCCACTTGTATCACATGTTTTGGAAATAATTCCAGAACGAGATTTCAACGAGACTGAAACATCAGAAGAATACATCCTTAACCAGGAAAACTTAACATTGAACAATGATCCATGAAAATGAGGTCAAGGTCAGATGAACCATGCCAGACAGACATGTACACCTTAGGATCAATCTATGCATTAAATATAGTTGACCAATTGCATATAGTATCTAAGAAACAAACTTAACCATGAAAACTTAACATTGAACAATGAACCATGAAAATGAGGTCTAGGTCAGTTGATACCTGCAAGACAGACATATACACCTTACAATCATTCCATACACCAAATATAGTTGACCTATTGCTTATAGTTTAAGAAAAACAGACCAAAACATAAAAACTTAACACTGAGCAATGAACTGTGAAAATGAGGTCAAGGTCAAATAAACCTGCCTAAAATATTTCCATAATCCAAATATAGTTGACCTGTTGCATATAGTATTAGAAAAAAAACCAAAACACAAAAACTTAACTTTAACCACTGAACCATTAATATGAGGTCAAGGTCAGATGACACCTGCCAGTTGGACATGTACACCTTACAATCATTCCATACACCAAATATAGTAGACCTATTGCTTATAGTATCTGATATATGGACTTGACCATGAAAACTTAACCTTGATCACTGATCCATGAAATGAGGTTGAGTTCAGATGAAAACTGTCTGACAGGCATGAGAACCTTGCAAGGTACACACATACTAAATATAGTTATCTTATTACTCATAATAAGAGAGAAATTGATATTACAAAAAATCTTAACTTTTTTTTTCAAGTAGTCACTGAACCATGAAAATGAAGTCAAGGACAATGGACATATGACAGATGGAAACTTCATAACATAAGGCATCTATATACAAAGTATGAAGCATCCAGGTCTTCCACCTTCTAAAATATAAAGCTTTTAAATAGTTTGTTAAAGCTGCCATTGCTGCCAGATCACTATCCCTATGTCGAGCTCTCTGAGACAGAAATCGCAGGCTCGACAAAAATGGGGCTTAGGTCAAGTGACCATGGTCAGATGGACACTTAAAGAGGATACTACTAACTTATGAAGTAAATACCTTAAAGGACATACATTATACATTTTTCTAAATAATTGGGAGACATTATACTGTTGGTGTCAGAGGCCTTCACTGGTTCTAAAACAGGACCAGATGAACTCAATAGCCATCATACAGAATAACAGGAAAGATATAAAAATGACAGTGTTTTCAAATCAAACCTCAGACCACCATTCTTGGTTGACTTTTATGTGTTTTACCACCACATTCATATGTCACTAATGAAGCCGTACCTAATGATCTTTCCACAGTATGTTCCTTTATAGGTTCCTGTGATAATTTTCGTAATTTTGTCTTCTGTTGACATAAATTTCTGAGTTTGATTTACAAAATCATTACTAAATTGAATAAAGCGGAACCTAAAGTAGTTCAAGAACATTGACGAGACAGACAGATGCCCAACAACACAAGTTTGAAAAAAATATGCAGTTAACAGCCTTCAAGTATGGACAAGTGAAATGTATCTTGTAATTTCAAGGAATTGTTGAAAGCAGAAGACAAATAAAAGACAGACATGAAACAAACATTACATCAAAGTCGCTGAATAGGCTTTAAAATCTTAGAAAAGACTAATAAAATAAATGTAAAACAAGCAATTTTATTAATAGATATCATACAATGTAACAATTTACAAATAAATTTGTTTAAAATTAGCACTAACTAGGTAACATAAACACATTAGTAACAACGAAATAAAGGATTTGCTTATATTAAATGATATCATGGCACTGTAACAAAATGTGTAATTACAACATTCCAATTTTAGGAAAAGTAAGAGAAAAATTGAAGACTGAAAGATTCTTTTTTTTCCAGTTCTTTTTTAACTGCAAATTTAATTTTCTACTGAAAACAAGATTTTATTATAAGTTTAAAAGAATGCACTGTTCATTAATTCTTCACAGAAGAGTACAGCCAAGATAAAACGAAATATATATTATGCAAGCATGAATTGGAAAAAAATATTTTTGTTATACCCTTATGTCTCCACCTCTTCAAAATAAATAACACATAATTGATTACGAACATTAAAAACATTTCAGATCTATTTTTTTACTTTTCCTTGGTTTGCAACTTTCTCCATTGCTGCCTTAACTTGGGCTTCATCTGCCAGATAATAATGCTTTAATGGGCGAAGATTTTCATCTAACTCATAAACTAATGGTATACCTGCAAAAAAAAGGAAAAAAGTTAAGCTCTACCACGCCTCGTTATTTTTTGGTCTACCACACCTCCTTATTTTTTCATTTATACATATTTGTGAATAACAGAAAAAAGTTATGAAAAGATAATATACATATACCAGTACTTTCAGGGGGAAACTAGCAATTCTAAGGCAAAAAGTTAAAGAAGCCTGTAGTAAGATCATAGGAGCAATTTTAAACGCATAATGTTTACAAAGTCTGAAGTTTGAATTTTCATTAGAGGTATCTGAGGTTTAGTATTTTGGTTACCAAGATGTTATGACAATGTTTAATTGATAAAGCTGGACAACAAGTAAAACAGTGTATTCATCTTATCTCAAATAGACCATCTGTAGTATAAACGAAAAAGCTTTTCTCAAACACTTCTCTGATTCAAACATAAAATTTTAATGATCTTGTTTATTTTTGATAAAGCATGTAAGGTTTGGTCATTTTCAGCTTTAAGTTTGAAGACACTCAATTAAGACATCACATTTCTTTGTTAAACTATATGATTTCACTACACATATTTGTCTTCATCAGAAAAAAAAATCTGATTGAAAAGTGAAAAAACAAAAATTTTAGTGTGTACAGGCATAAACTTAAACTTAAACTAACCTGTTGGGATGTTGAGTTCTGGGATTTCTGAGTCTGGAATATTATCTAAGTACTTCACTATTGCTCTCAAACTATTTCCATGGGCTGACACTATAACTCTCTTTCCTGCCTATAAAATTATTAAATACCTTGCAATGTTTATACACTTTAATTATAAAACAGATTTGAAATTATTCATTTTGTATAATTTCATAACAGAGGAGCTATGTCAGGTCTTTTTTTGGCCCTTAAACTTTAATTTATTTACAATTCTTTATATTCTCTATGGTCCAAAATAAACAAGAGACATTAAGGCCAATTAAATGTACTGTAGATTCCGAAAAGAAACCCACAAAAAGGGTAAAAAGCATCTGTCTAATGGCAATAACTCTTATATGGATTGGTCGAAATGAATGGTAGGTAGATCTTGACATTCTGTACATTTGTGTCCCGTCAAATTTTCTCTATCCATATCAATTTACAAGATGATAGACAATATTTGCATTTTACACCTATGTTTTCTATATTTAGCTTTGGCAGCCATGTTGGTTGGCAGATAGGATCATCCGACACATTTTGTAGTCTAGATACTAGGGATGATTGTGGCCATGTTTGATTCCATTTGGCCCTGTAGTTTCAGTGAAGATGATGTTTGTAAAAGTTAATGGAAGAGGACAGACACCAAGTCATGTGAAAAGTTTACAATGGCCTAAGACATATGTGTGTATACAACTATATATACCCGTGCCTATATAATACATTTAAATCAGTCTTAAAAAAAACAAACTTTCTAGCTGACTTGCTTAAAAATCATTTTTCTTAAAATATTTAAATATCTATAAGGCTCATAATTCCTGTTTGATGTGAGAAGATACTGACAGTACTATACTTTCACTAGCTAGGTCAGCAGGCTTGTGGTTTATCATAAATACTGTAAATACTGTTTTTACACACTAATACAGGGAAATTCCTGTGTATTTAAATTTTTCTGTGGCACTCCAATTATTATAAATATTTCAATGGACAAGAACCTCTTTTTTTTTGGTGACAGGTAAATAATTTCAAAAGGCTATAATATAAAAAAGCACTGAAAAATTTAAAAATTAATGCTTGTCCTCAAGCTTTTGAATCTCCCCTAAATTCATTACAATTTGATACCTTCATTGCTGGTACAATAGCATCATGCCAGAATGGTAAAGCTCTAATAACTGTGTCTTTTAAACATTCACATGGTGGAACAACACTTTCATCTAAATTCTGAAATAAGATAATTTATCTCTGATAATGCTATGTCAACCTGAAAAATAGTTCAGATTAAAATTTCCATTGACCTGTTTTTTTTTGTGCTTTGTGCCGATTTGATAAATTTCAGCTCTTTACAATTGATTTTTGGTTTTCTCTTGAATGGTTCACATATTGTCATTCAGAGGCCTTTTATATCTTACTATATGGTATTGGTTTTGCTCATTGTTGAAGGCGTACATTGACCTATAGTTGCTTACATCCGTGTCATTCTGTTTCTGGTGAATAGTTCTCATTCCACATTTGCAATCAAAGCACATCACCCTTTTTTTCATTCTCACCCTTACCACACACATTATTCTGATTACAACCAATCAGTCTTTGCTCTTACCCCTAAATGTCATTTGCTTCGGTGAAAAGAAGCAATTAACATTTTTTCAAGTCTTTTTCACACCTGGCCTAGGATTGAACCAACAACCTTTCACACTCAAGAAAAGAACACTACAGCAAGACCACCAAGACAGTTACAACAAATATGGAAATTAGCCAAATAATATGTAATTACTATTTTTGTCTGTTGTGTTTTGTGTGTGACACATAAAGATTTTATTCTAATACAAACAAAATGTGAATTTCCAATCTGGCATGCAGAGCTGAAGATAGATTTTGAAGTAGCAGTTTCAAGCTCAGTACCTTATTTTGTCAATATTTATCAACTTAATGCATACTGTAGAAAAATGGTCTGAAATATTTGGCCGAGTTACAGAGAAAATTTGCTGACTAACACCCTTTCAAATGCATAACTTGTGTTCATCATGCTAATAGCAATGTCTGATTGGTGGGAATCCTGCATATTCTAATTCTTTTAATTTAATTATCAACTTACTCCATATTTAACCTCATTAGCAGACCATCTCTTATCTGATTTTTCTAATGCTGGAGGTGGTGTATCATAAGATCTTCTCCAAATCTAAAACAAATGTTCAATGTTGTCTGAAATCACATATTTTAATAACTATTTGTACTGTCTGTGCATATTTAGACATCTATTTTTAAGAAATGGCATGAGACTCCATTTATTTTAGCATGCAAGTTAATTTCAAATAAAACAAGACAAAAAAATTATACAATTAGTTTGGAGAAATTGATTGTCTTTTTGTTGTCTTTTGTTTTGTAATTTTCTCTTCGACTTATGAGTTTAAATGCCCCATTATGGGTACATGAAGATTTCAAGGACATTAGTTTCTCTCGACATGAGTTTTGAATGTTTTGTCTTCCACCTCTTTTTTAGAGAAGTATGCCTAGATTTTAAAGAGATTATCAATTCTATAAGTTTCTACAGTGTATGTACATGTATGTTATGATGATCTAACTAGTACATGTAGTACAAATGTAGTTGGATATTGATCATTTGATGAATCAATCCTCAGTAAGTTTCAACCAAGTGAACCTAAACACAAAATCTCATTGAAGCAACTTAACTGGAAAATAAATGTTATACACATGTAAAATCGAGAATATGTTTCTATAGTATAGGATACCAAGCCCTACTCGCACTATCAATATACCATTGCAATGTTCACTGAACCAAAAACTATTGGTCCAAACCATAATTTGTCATATATGTTCTTTGAAATAAAATTCACAGCATAATGAGCATGGGTACTAAGTTTCAAGTAGATGTGACCACAACTTCATGGTAAACTACCTAAATCCAAAACTTTGGCCGTAAAAATGATGCAGAAACTATTTATTCATTACAAATTATGACATAAACACATATCAATATATTCATTAAGAAATTTGATTGGTAAACTTTTTTAAACTGATCATCACTGTCAATAAATTGTATTCTAACTTTGATGCATAAATGCATTTCTTAAATGTGTACAGGGTTGCACATGAGCATATTAGATGTACCATTTGCTCATTAAACATGTATATTAATTAAGAAACTGGCTTTACGTTGTATATCAACAACTGCATTTCAAAATATTTTTCAGATGTACATTTGCAGTACAAGCGTCTATTTGATACAGAAAAGATTTTAAAGCTTTCTTTTTAATTAACTGTTGTTCTTCAATAGTAATCACCTTTATCCAAAAATAAGTAAAATATTATTGTCATTGACTCGTGATGGAACCTTTTAAGTGGTATTAAAACAGAAATGTATTTTAACTTAGGCATGAGATAACCATAGATCTTTGTTTTAGGTACAATAAAAATAGGAAAATAGAAAAACAAGACATGAAAGTATGTAAAAATTCTGGAATAATTACTGATATTTTACCTTCACTTGAGCCTCTCCATATTTTTCAGCAGTTTCTGATTTATTGAGTCCCTGTAAAGCACCATAATGTCTCTCATTCAACCTCCAATGTCTGACAACAGGGATCCAGTGCAAGTCAAGTTCATCTTGTACGAAATACAAAGTTTTTATGGCTCTTTTTAGTAAACTTGTGAATGCTATGTCAAAGGTATATCCCTTTTCTTTCAACATCTACAAAAACATCATCATCATGTTAACATTATTTATTATTATAAATCTGCTAACAAACAAATAAACCCAAATAAATGAATTCCCAACCTTAAACTAATAAACGTACCACTGTGTTTGAATTTCCAGATGATAAGACAACTGCTTTGTGTCTTTTTAAAGAAAATTTCAATACTCACAACCAACAATGGCAAAATAAACTTTCCTTCTTTTTTAATTTTCATGAAGGCGATCTCATAAAACTCAGTTTTTTTATACTGAACATGTGCAATTAAATTAAAAGTTAATCAAATTTTTGTAACAAATAAAAATAGTAAAAACATACATGTAGATGATATAATATGTTGTTTAAAAAATTTGAAAGTATTTGTATTAACTCCCACCCTTTGAATTTTTTTTCAAATGAAAAATCCAAATGACTTTAAAACAATGATTGCAAAGAGGACTCCTAAATTGAACAGCGATGTAAACAGCAATTGAATGAAGCAGGAAGCCATATCTGTATATCACTTCATGTTATCTCACTTATCTGTACACCTGTATTTGAATAGTAAAAAGGTTGATTGCAGGATAGATATAAACATGTCTACATGTATCTGTATAATAACAATAACATATAGAGTACAGGAATATGTGTGTTTGTGTGTAAAGACATATGTGAACAGTTGAAAAAGTGTGCATTCTCGTATTATGAACAACATCGTTATTGATTTTGTAAAAAATATCTCCATACTCCTAACTACAAAATTATTATATTTAAATTTACCTGTGTACGTTATTTTATTTAATGCCATTTTGTCTGCAAGGTTATAGTTGCCTTTTTGACATTGTGTCATAGATCAAATTTATTCGTTCAGCACGTTCAGTGTTATATACTTATTTCTGTTAATATGTCTTTTTGATTGAGTTAAGCCATTTCAATTGATATTTTATATTGTGTCTTTCTACTATTTCAGGTTTGGGTGAAGGTTAAAACGTTTAAACCCGCTGCAAATGTTTGCACCTGTCCTAGTCAGGAAACTGTTTCAGTGGTTGACGTTTGTTGATGTGGTTCTTAAGTGTTTCCTGTTTCTCGTTTTTTATATAGATTAGACTGTTGGTTTTCCTGTTTGAATTGTTTTACACTAGTCATTTTGGGGCCCTTTATGGCTTGCTGTTCAGCGTGAGCCAAGGCTCCGTGTTGTAGGCCGTACTTTGACCTATAATTGTTAACTTTTTACACATTGTGACTTGGATGGAGAATTGTCTCATTGGCACTCATACCACATCTTCTTATTTCTATTAAATGGTAAAAGCTGTGAGTTGGCCATAATACATTCAGATAACTTGGTCTTCAGCATGTTCAGTAACATATTCATGAACACTTAAGTGTAAATCAAAGAAAAAAAATTACCTGGTAGTAGCAATATTCTTATATATTCGGCAAAATTCTCAACAACCTTTAACATACTTTATTCGAATAATTTACTTTATAAAACATGTCAAAAGAATGAAATAAAAATCAAGGTGAACGGACCCAGTACAAACAGGTATTAGGTTGAAAGGACCCAGGGCAAAGAGTTATTGGGGCGAACAGGGACTAGGGCAAACGTGAATCAGGACCAATGGACCCGGATTCTGGTTAGGTTTATGGTAAGAGTTTAATAGTTTAGAATAAAAGCCATATATGAGTTGGGACCCTTAGGCTTAAATGGCTTTAGTAAAAGAAGCCCAAAATTGCATACTCAAAGACAGCTAGCCAAATTGAACTTATATAGCCAGAATGAATGATATTAGCTTAAACTGCAGATACATGTATACATAACCTGTCAGTGTCAATCTGATGCTATCACACAAGACAAGTTACAACTGTCAAAATTTACCGTTCCAGCATTTTTTGCTTCAGCTAAGCCTGTTTCTGACAAATCGGCATCATGCCAGCCACAAAATAAGTTCTTTTGGTTCCATTCACTTTCTCCATGTCTCACAAAAACGATTGTATATTTTGCCATGACTGCTTATTGGAATAAGAGAAGTGACCTTCTGCCGGTGTCCTGTCCTTCACCTCTCAAGGAAGTAAGGGAGGCAATCCCAAAAAAGTTTCCGTAACATGACGCTACTTTCATTTTGATCATTGGTGATTAAATATCCTGCATCATATCCCAACAAGCCTTTTGTCGAAAATTTGAATTGATTTTGACGAAAAATATTTATTACCAGGTAATGCTATGAACTAATAGGTAAAATTACTACTGAGTGTCAACTCCAGTCTCCACTAATGGCACTATACAGTACAGACCAATTTCGAGCTTTTTTATGAATAATTTTGAAAGGGCATTAGCTTACAGCAAGGATTTGTATAGTGCTATGTAGGTTGCGAACGTGAAAGGGGGCGAACGTGAATGGGAGCGAACATGTTTTTGGGCGAACGGACCAGGATTCCTTATAAAACTTATACAGTTTCCAAAATTCCAAAAGGTCCAAAAAGAAAACATTTAACAGTGCATGAACATGTGCATATTATACTTAAGACCAGACGTCATTTACTCCCTTTTGGGATTCTGTCTGTAACAATTTTCTGATTTAGACGCTCTGACATGTCTGAGAGCAGCATAAGGGGACGACCATTTGATATTCTGGGGGGGGGGGGGGGGGGGGGGGGGGGCCAGGAGGATTTGTTTTGGATCGGTTATTTAGTTTTGTAAACTAAGAGGACAGATTATTTATTTTCTGCACTGTTGAAGCAAGATTTTTCATTTTCATTAAAACAAGGGACTGGTTATTTATTTTCATAACTCTATTAATAATATTTGGAAACATACAATTTTTAAATTCATTTTTTATTATAAATAATACATGTACAGTACAGTCAAGTCTTTAATGTACCATTTAATCAGAATTAATCATCATCCTCTGCGGAAATGAATCTTCTGAATTCCAAATTGCATATATACACGGTATTAGAGTTGGGGGCTGTGACTAGCCTCTTTTAAAAGTATTGCCAAATATATTTATGCCGAGCGGAGCGAGGCAAAAAAATTTTGAAGGGTTTTGAAGCCGCTGAAGGCCCAAAGAAACTATAGAACAAATGATGCAAAATCATGCTTTCTGGGCGTTCCCAGACCCTTTCTTATTCTGAAAACGCAAGTTCTGTTTTAATAATTTTTCGACAATATTTTGTTCTCAAAGCAAAATGTATAGATTCAGCGTAAGACTTAAGTTTTTATGGACAACATCAAAAGACCAATATGAAGAATAAAGTAAAAATGTAATTCACATAGTTAAGTATGTGGCTGCTGGTTTTTTTTTGTTGTTGTTTCGGCATGCAGAATTTAAATCTTTTATACCTGTAAATTATATGGGGTTTTATTCAAATTAAGTTAAGAGGGGCTGATTATCAGTGATATAACTATGTCAAGTATTTTTTAATAACACATTTCAATTACAACTTGATGTAGCTCTTAACTGGGATACAATTTAAAGTAGTTAAGTTGTAAAATTAGCTAAAAAGTCTTAAATAAAATAAAACTCATGATCAAGTTGAAAACACAATTACTAAATCACAAAAGGAATGCAACACTAAGAGAATACAGAGGGGCAATCAATGAACAAAAGACAAATTTAAAGAAACATTGATCCCAAAAAAACAGGTGCTACGTCCAAAGGAGAACAGAACTTGCTTTTTGCAAACACTTGCTGTGACAAGCTTTTGGTTTTAAAATTTCCTACATAAAGGCATTTGCCTCAATGTAGTTACAGCCCTGTAATAAAAGTGAGGTAAGTGTTCCTGAGCCAATATACCTCAAGTTAAATGAAACCCATTTTCAGACATTTCAAGTATATTTAAATGATATTTATACCTTTATTATAAAAAGATTTGGGAAGTGTTTCCTGATTTTTTTTTTGAAAAAAAGATGAATTTAATGAAGAATCTGGTGCCACCTCATACTTTCGAATAGCATTTATAAAATGGCTTAAAGACCTGCCGAGTTATTCATTTTCAATACATTGTAAGTCACGTTATTTATTTTCGAACTACCACAGAACAAACCATTTATTTTTGTGATTATCAAGGCTGAGTTATTTATTTTCAAAATCCTCCTGGCCCCCCCCCAGAATATCAAATGGTCGTCCCCTAATCAGCTCTGGATTAAAAATCATTGATGCCATGATCAACCAACATCAGATGATCTCCGAAGTCTGCCGCTGGTCTAACTACCTTATATAAACATAAATATAAAAAAACTGACAAGCAGGTGCTACTTCTGTAATGATGATTTTTTTTACAGATTACAGAAAAAATGTAAAACAACTTTTTTCCTGTATAAAAGTGATTTTTTTGTGGAACGAATCAGTCATTGAAATGTTAAAATGCTTTATCCTGGTGGCTTCCTTGTTTCGTTTTTTCAATATTTACATTCTTTTGTTTTTAATGACTGTTACTGAACACAGTTACACTGTGAGCACATGTGTAACTCGTGGTCAAATTTAAGGTTGCATGCATGAATACAGATTCAAATGAGTTGAATTATTGACTTGCAAGCCAATAATACATTTGTGATGTTTTTGAGCTTCAATTTTGACAAAATTAAACCAAACTGACAACTAATAGGGATTTTTAATATCAAAAAATGTTTGAAACAAAAAACATCATATTTTAGTTTATAGTGTAAATTGTAGCTAATGCCACTTTAATAAGCTGAAACATGATCTTCCAATACGTTTGATTCATATCATTTCCATTACCAGAAATACTCTTTTACTATACTCTTATTTCTCACGTCATTTAAACGTTTTATGGGCTATTAAACTGGATCCTGCATCTTTGAACTGATAAAGTAATTGTGACTGCTTGACATTTTTCAAACACCCGTCTTTATTTTTATGTACATAATCCAACCCTGCCTAAAGCAATATATTAATTTTATTATTTAAAACAGTTATCGAAGCAGTAATAAGGAAGTTATCCCCATTAGAATATTCATCCCTTAGCTCAACCTACTGACATAGATTTTATGCCCAACAAATGCACAAATGATGTCAAAGTGTTTGGTTTAAAGTGACGTTATTTGTCACCTTAAACCAAACACTTTGACGTTTGACCGAAAGATAACAATTGGAATCAAGTGTATTGGTGCTCTTCCCTAGAAAAATTTAATGTCACAATCAAATATATTCATGTCACAATGCCCTATGATGCTGATTCCCCTGAATGATCAGGTTAACCTGTGTGACCATTCATAAAAACATAAAAAGCAAATTAGACCAAGGTTGACCTGTGTAAATCATGTCATTGAACAATAGATTCATACTATGACATATCAACATAAGCATTGTGACATCAGAAATGTACAGTAAATCGAATTTGAAAGTCATCTTTACATACCGTAAAAAGTAAAAGTTAATCATAATGAATAACAAGAATTAGATAATGCAAGGGACAAAAAAAATCGTTTTATAAGATCTTTTCACAGATCCAGGTATATCCAGGTAAATGGCCTGGGGTCAGGTTCTTAGACCTAATATAGAGTTTCATTTAAAACCAGAAGTCAATCAGTTTAAATGACGTCATTGAACAATCAATATTTACTGTGACAAAATACATATAAGCATTTGCACCTGTCCTAAGTCAGGAATCTGATTACAATGGTTTTACACTAGTAATTTTTTGGGGCCCTTTATAGCTTGCTGTTCGGTGTGAGCCAATGCTCCGTGTTGAAGGCCGTACCTTGACCTATAATGGTTTACTTTTATAAATTGTAACTTGGATGGAGAGTTGTCTCATTGGCACTCATACCACATCTTCCTATATCTATTGTGACAAGACAATGGAAATGTCTGAGACTCTTAACTAAGTTTTAATAAAAAAAATTATTTCACATTAATATTCAATATATTTAATTTAAGAGTTATGGGATGATGGGGAATGCATCAATGGGGCATTAACCCAATAACACAATAAATAAAAAAAGACATATAGAGGTCAACATATTTATTGTGAAATAATTTATTTATTGTGTTTATTCACTATGTGTGTATTTAGGTTTATTTGATGTACTTAGATACAAAAGTAAATAATAATTTCTTCATTATATTTTTAGATTGTTACCTGTTTTTAATGAGATGATACTTAAACAAAGAAGCATTTATCTTTTAACTATATTGTATACAGTTTTAACTGATGCTAGCTTGTCTCCAAAAGACAAGAAAAAAGTCAAGAAAGATAAGGTAATACTCAATAGAGGTATGAGAATAAACAATAGCAAACTACCACAAGTGTCCAACCTTGGGCATGTTGGGTAACAGACAAGAATTGAATAAATTTTGATATAGTATTTCATTTTTTAGCTAGTAGTCAGACTACTTTGGTATGTAATTTTGGAGACAGTACCACTACTTCTGTAGTTGGCAATCCCAATACTGGTATACCACTACCAGGGGTAAAATTTCTATTAATAACCAGTATTGTAAATTAATGTATAAAAGAACAAACAATTGGATATTAAATGGCTCTGTTTCTTCCCAATTCTAAAGTTTTGTCAATGAAACATCTTGGCATCTATATGGCATTATAAGAATATGTCTGAAAGATTTTCATACTTTTTTATCATGTTTGCATGATGATTATGAAAATGAAGTTGTTTTCTTTTTACTTCAGTTCAAGCCAGTGACAAACAGTGTCATAGAAAGGGGCCTTGTAAAGGAAGAAATAAAACTGAAAGATATCCTGAAAGAATATGGCTCCATTAGTGAATCAAAGACTCCACATTTTACTGGTGATATTCTAGCTTATGTTACTCCTGTAAGTTCCACTGAATACAAATCTTGAATTCTTCATAATGGAAAACAGGTTTTATATAAAAAATTTGTATAACGTAAACATGTTAAATTTTGCAGCATCCAGTATTTAGTTTTGTTTGTCATATTTGTTGGTATTTCCCCCCGATTTTATGATATGTTTCTACTATAAATACAGTTTTGTCTATGATACCATTTTGTGTGCTTTTTTATGCAAAAGCTCATATCTGCCCACCAACCCACCCAAACAAAGTATCTAGATTCATATTTCGACTAGTTT